ACTGTGATGTCACACTCAGTCCACTCCTAATCTACAGACTATGCTAACTTCCCCTTTCATATAATTTGTTAATGCAAATGTTATTTGTTAAACTTCAGAACCAGGAGTGAACCAGGTCGGAACCAGGAGTGAACCAGGACTGAACCAGGACGGGACCAGGACTGAACCAGGACGGGACCAGGACTTGGATAAAGTGAAATAGAGACCACCCTCTCTCAGCCAATCAGCTCTCAGCCCTGTGAGTCTAATAGTGACTCACATGTTACTTCTGTGTTGAGACAATCGACATGTTTTATGGATGACGTGTAAAGTTAGGTATCTCAGCTTTATCTGTCGCACAAACACATCATGAGTCGCATCGATCCAGAGTCAGCAAAACATCGATCCACACAAAGGTCGGAGACGGGAGACGACGGGACGTTGTGTTGCTACGTCTGTGCAATCACACACACACAGACACACACACACACACACATACATACACATACACATGCACACACAGACACACACAGACACACACATGCACACACACACACACGCACACGCACACGCACACACACACACACGTACACACACACACACACACATGCACACACACACACACACACACACACACACACACACCTGGTGCAGACTGTGACCTTTCGCCTCATGTTTATTTTCCTCCAGACGCCCCGGGACCAGAGGATCAACCCTGAAATGAGGCCTGAGACTCGGGCTTTCCTCCGCCAGCTCCAGGGACCTCCAGAGACTAAGCACTAATGAACAAACAGCTGAGGAGCCACAACACACTGACGCTGTGCATTAAAGATGGGCCTATGGGGGGGGGGGGGGTCTTTAGAATCACATTTTTACACCAAAGGATCTGTGTTTATCAGCTACATCCATCCATCCATCCATTTTCTACCCTTTAATCCATTTCTGGGTCAGGGGGTGACAGTCAGAGATGCCACCCAAGTCTCATAGCACCAGCCCCTCACTGACCCTCTGCAGGTGGTGAGTCCACAGGAGGACGGCTGCTCTCTAAGTGTGAGCATAGCCTTGATCTTTCAGTGGGGGCTTTGGGCAAAGTGGAGTTAAGTGTCTTGCCCAAGGGCACAACGACAGCAGTCATCAGTGGGAGTCGGTGGAGAAGGTGCAGAGGTGGGAATTGAACCCACTACCTTCAGGCCTGAAAGCCAATGCTCTACCAACTGTCGCCCGGTCGACTGTAGCTCAGTTTTCAAAAGCTTCACACATCTTTATAACATATTTATTAACTTTAAAATCAAAGTCAAGGAACACAGGAAGAACACGTCCACAAGCCTCGATATTCACTGACATGACCAAATAAAACGGCCTCTCCATCTTAAACGCTTCCATCCAACTGTGAGCTTTGGCACAAATACTGAAATAAACTGTAGATATTCACACAGCCTTCAACAATACTGTTTTTCTTTTTCTTTTTCTGCAAATAATGTAATGTTTATATTGCTAAAAGCCGTAACCATGACAACCACGAGGGCCACCAAACCACTTCCTTCTTTTTAAAACAGCGCCACAGAAAGATCCAGTAAAACAGTTTTTTACAGAACACACAAAGAGACACACACACACCCCACACAGACACACGCACAGAGACACACACACACACACAAAGAAACACACACAGACATACACAGAGACACACACAAACACACACAAAAACAATACACACAAAGAGACACACACGCTGCTCCACCACAAAAAAGACTAAGGTTCGGACTCATAAAAGAATGGAATCCAAAATCAAACTGGTGCCAAAAGAGAGACCAGAGAGAGACCAGAGACAGACCAGAGAGAGACCAGAGAGAGACCAGAGAGAGACCAGAGAGAGACCAGAGAGAGACCAGAGAGAGACCAGAGAGAGACCAGAGAGGGACCAGAGAGAGACCAGAGAGAGACCAGAGAGGGACCAGAGAGAGACCAGAGAGAGACCAGAGAGAGACCAGAGAGAGACCAGAGAGAGACCAGAGAGAGACCAGAGAGAGACCAGAGAGAGACCAGAGAGAGATCAGAGAGAGACCAGAGAGAGACCAGCCCTGGGCCATTTAACCCCCTTAGACCCAAATTCATGGTATTTTCTTTCACGTTTAATCATGGGTGACGGGTCATTCTGACCTGAGGGTAGCACAAGGTCAAACAAAGGATCTCTGTTACAGCGGTGCAGATGGAGGAAACATGTGGAGCACGAGAAACATGATGTAAAAACAGCACGAATTCACTCAAAAATCAGCAAAACAGTAAAAGGAAAAGCGTGTTACAGCGAGGGGCCGGTGTGAGATCACAGCTGACTCACCTCTCACAGGCCACAGGGGGCAGTGTGGAGCTCAGGGCTGCAGGAGGCGGGTCTGGAACACAGAGGACAGAGGTTTAAATGCTTTTCATATATTTTCTACTTAAAGCTGGGGTCCCTAAAACACACATTAAAATGATCACAGCTGGGTTTGCAGTGGGATGAAAAGAGACTTGTCCAAAAACTATACGACTATAGTATACTAAGTACGATGTAGTTTTATTATTATTTTATCTACCTGTTTATTTTTGTCATTTTGTCACATTTCGGCCTCAGTGCAGTTTGTGAAGAAACACAAACAAACAATGATGGAATCAAAGACGACTGTTTTAACTGGACACACATTATTTATGACCTGTTTTATTGCACTGTTTGTGTTATGGACAAAAGTGAAATAAAACTATGAACTCTGAGGAACTCCTGGGTCTCTGTTCTGTCTCTGTCTATCTCTGGTGTCTCTCTGGTGCCTCTCTGGTGTCTATGGTCTGTCTCTGGTCTCTCTGGTCTTTCTCTGGTCTCTCTCTGGTCTCTCTCTCTGGTCTATCTCTGGTCCCTCTCTGGTCTCTCTCTGGTCTCTCTCTCTGGTCTATCTCTGGTCCCTCTCTGGTCTCTCTCTGGTCTCTCTCTCTGGGCTCTCTCTCTGGTCTCTCTCTCTCTCTGGTCTCTCTCTGGTCTCTCTCTCTGGGCTCTCTCTCTGGTCTCTCTCTCTCTCTGGTCTCTCTCTAGTCTCTCTTTGGTCTCTCTCTGGTCCCTCTCTGGTCTCTCTCTAGTCCCTCTCTGGTCTCTCTCTGGTCTCTCTCTGGTCTCTCTCTGGTCTCTCTCTCTGGGCTCTCTCTCTGGTCTCTCTCTCTCTCTGGTCTCTCTCTGGTCTCTCTCTCTGGGCTCTCTCTCTGGTCTCTCTCTCTCTCTGGTCTCTCTCTAGTCTCTCTTTGGTCTCTCTCTGGTCTCTCTCTTGTCCCTCTCTCTGGTCTCTCTCTTGTCCCTCTCTGGTCTCTCTCTTGTCCCTCTCTAGTCCGTCTCTTGTCCCTCTCTAGTCCCTCTCTTGTCTCTCTCTGGTCTCTCTGTTTTACGCATGTTCTTTGGCCTATGTCATACTTCTAAATCAGTTTTTTCAGACAGGAAAATGGAAAACACATCAACACTTTCACCAGACTCCTTCTGTTAAGACAAACAGCATGTAACAAATATGAATCCAAGTTTACGTACCACAGCTTTAAGAACATATTTCACATTCTAAAACAGGCAATGGCCAAACACATGTTCTCTGAGAGGAGGAGGAGAGAGCTGCTATACACTGGGTCACATTCTCCCACACCTACTTTATTTATTTATACAATTCACAAGCCGCGAGATGGAGGCAGCAGCAGTAAAGGGCCTTATCTATCACCAGCTCTGCAATCTGCTCCGGACCCCATTTTTACAACGGCCGATCGATAGCGCATTATTCTGACCAGCCAGACTTAAGCGCGGACATAAGTCACATGCTGTCACCTAAAGATGTCTGCCCCTGGTCTCTCCAAGATGTCCACCGCGGGTCTCTCCAAGATGTCTGCCCCTGGTGTCTCCATGATGTCTGCCTCTGGTCTCTCCATGATGTCTGCCTCTGGTCTCTCCAAGATGTCTGCCTCTGGTCTCTCCATGATGTCTGCCCTGGTCTCTCTAAGATGTCTTCCCTGGTCTCTCCAAAATGTCTGCCCTTGGTCTCTCCATGATGTCTGCCCTGGTCTCTCCAAGATGTCTGCCCTGGTCTCTCCAAAATGTCTGCCCTTGGTCTCTCCATGATGTCCACTTTTGGTCTCTCCAAGATGTCAGCCCCTGGTCTCTCCAAGATGTCTGCCCCTGGTCTCTCCATGATGTCTGCCTCTGGTCTCTCCAAGATGTCTGCCTCTGGTCTCTCCATGATGTCTGCCTCTGGTCTCTCCAAGATGTCTGCCCTGGTCTCTCCAAAATGTCTGCCCTTGGTCTCTCCATGATGTCCACTTTTGGTCTCTCCATGATGTCTGCCCTTGGTCTCTCCATGATGTCCACTTTTGGTCTCTCCATGATGTCTGCCTCTGGTGTCTCCAAGATGTCTGCCCATTCAAACCAATGGCCTGTGCTCATTGGTTCATGATTGTACCATGGACGTCCCGATCCTTAGCAGAGGCAGAGGCCAAGGAGAGACTAGAGAGAGGGACTAGAGAGAGACCAGAGAGAGACCAGAGAGAGACCAGAGAGAGACCAGAGAGAGACCAGAGAGAGACCAGAGAGAGACCAGAGAGACCAGAGAGACCAGAGAGAGACCAGAGAGAGACCAGAGAGACCAGAGAGAGGCCAGAGACTTTTCCACAAAACAGAACTTTGTGGAATGACTTTTCCCATTCCTCTTTACAAAACAGCTTCATCTCTGCTTCAATGGAGAGAGTTTAGAAAAGTGTCCAGGTCTTTCCACACTTTCTCACTCAGACTTTGACTCAAACACAAATGTTTTCAAGATCCATCGTTAATACAACCCACAAAAGAACCGCTTCAGTTCCATGAAGCTCTTTCCAGTTTGATTGTCTAAGCACCGACACTAATCACCAATAAATAATTAGCCAACGCTGGACTAAATGAGTATCTTTCTTTCTCCACGTCGTGAATGTCCGCAGACTCGGAGCTGGTCCCATTCACGGCGTCACAAAGATTCCTCAGTGTTTCCTTTCATTCAGAAGCAGACGGTGGTAAAAAGTCGTGTGAGAAAGTGAAAACAAAAGCACAAGACTCCGGCCGTGGTTCTGCTGGAGCGGAATCCCCCCCCCCCCCCCCCCCCCCCCACCCCCCGTGAGCCGGGACCCCCCCCTTTGCGAGCCGGGACCCCCCCTGTGAGCCGGGACCCCCCAACGCCAACACTGGAGCTATGTTTACAAACACAGGGAGGACTGGAGTTTCTGTTCACGAAGAAAATGAAGACAAGAGAAAGTTGCTGTGGATGAGATCAGACCAGACCCAGACCAGACTCAGACCAGACCAGACCCAGACCAGACCAGACTCAGACCAGACCCAGACCCAGACTCAGACCAGACTCAGACCAGACCCAGACCAGACTCAGACCAGACCCAGACCAGACTCAGACCAGACTCAGACCAGACCCAGACCCAGACTCAGACCGTAGACTCAGACCAGACCCAGACCACAGACTCAGACCAGACCCAGACCCAGACCAGACCAGACTCAGACCAGACCCAGATTCAGACTCAGACCAGACCCAGACTCAGACCAGACCCAGACCCAGACTCAGACCAGACCAGACTCAGACCAGACCCAGATTCAGACCCAAACTCAGACCAGACCCAGAAAGCGATCCATAATAAGAAGTGGATAGAGTATTACAGCTGTCCCACCCATGGCCACAGGGGGCGCTGTGGTACTGCAGACTAAATTCACGTTACCCAGAAAAAAGTCCCATAGAACTCAACAATAAACTCCAACAGCTCGACCTCAGCTGACAGAGAACCTGACAGAGAACCTGACAGAGAACCTGACAGAGAACCTACAGAGAACCTGACAGAGAACCTGACAGAGAACCTGACAGAGAACCTGACAGAGAACCTGACAGAGAACCTGACAGAGAACCTGACAGAGAACCTGACAGAGAACCTACAGAGAACCTGACAGAGAACCTGACAGAGAACCTGACAGAGAACCTGACAGAGAACCTGACAGAGAACCTGACAGAGAACCTACAGAGAACCTGACAGAGAACCTGACAGAGAACCTGACAGAGAACCTGACAGAGAACCTGACAGAGAACCTGACAGAGAACCTACAGAGAACCTGACAGAGAACCTGACAGAGAACCTGACAGAGAACCTGACAGAGAACCTACAGAGAACCTGACAGAGAACCTGACAGAGAACCTGACAGAGAACCTGACAGAGAACCTGACAGAGAACCTACAGAGAACCTGACAGAGAACCTGACAGAGAACCTGACAGAGAACCTGACAGAGAACCTACAGAGAACCTGACAGAGAACCTGACAGAGAACCTGAGAAAGAACCTGACAGAGAACCTGACAGAGAACCTGACAGAGAACCTGACAGAGAACCTGACAGAGAACCTGACAGAGAACCTACAGAGAACCTGACAGAGAACCTGACAGAGAACCTGACAGAGAACCTGACAGAGAACCTGACAGAGAACCTGACAGAGAACCTACAGAGAACCTGACAGAGAACCTGACAGAGAACCTGACAGAGAACCTGACAGAGAACCTGACAGAGAACCTGACAGAGAACCTACAGAGAACCTGACAGAGAACCTGACAGAGAACCTGACAGAGAACCTGACAGAGAACCTGACAGAGAACCTACAGAGAACCTGACAGAGAACCTGACAGAGAACCTGACAGAGAACCTGACAGAGAACCTGACAGAGAACCTACAGAGAACCTGACAGAGAACCTGACAGAGAACCTGACAGAGAACCTGACAGAGAACCTACAGAGAACCTGACAGAGAACCTGACAGAGAACCTGAGAAAGAACCTGACAGAGAACCTGACAGAGAACCTGACAGAGAACCTGACAGAGAACCTGACAGAGAACCTGACAGAGAACCTACAGAGAACCTGACAGAGAACCTGACAGAGAACCTGACAGAGAACCTGACAGAGAACCTGACAGAGAACCTACAGAGAACCTGACAGAGAACCTGACAGAGAACCTGACAGAGAACCTGACAGAGAACCTGACAGAGAACCTGACAGAGAACCTACAGAGAACCTGACAGAGAACCTGACAGAGAACCTGACAGAGAACCTGACAGAGAACCTGACAGAGAACCTGACAGAGAACCTGACAGAGAACCTACAGAGAACCTGACAGAGAACCTGACAGAGAACCTGACAGAGAACCTGACAGAGAACCTGACAGATAACCTGACAGAGAACCTACAGAGAACCTGACAGAGAACCTGACAGAGAACCTACAGAGAACCTGACAGAGAACCTGACAGAGAACCTGACAGAGAACCTGACAGCTTTGATAAAGAAGCCACACACGCTTGTTAGTATTTTGGGCAAAGCATCATGGGAGCTCGTCTACTGCACAGAACCAGGAGGACCAGACCATGTCCAAATATGGCCGTGTTCAAGCCATTGATATGAAAGGCCGCCATCTTGGATCACCGAGGCTTGGTCCCATACCCAAACTCAGACTAGTCCTAGACCCAAACTCAGACCAGTCCTAGACCCAAACTCAGACCAGTCCCAGACCCAAACTCAGACCAGTGCCAGACCCAAACTCAGACCAGTGCCAGACCCAAACTCAGACCAGTCCCAGACCCAAACTCAGACCAGTGCCAGACCCAAACTCAGACCAGTGCCAGACCCAAACTCAGACCAGTCCTAGACCCAAACTCAGACCAGTGCCAGACCCAAACTCAGACCAGTGCCAGACCCAAACTCAGACCAGTGCCAGACCCAAACTCAGACCAGTGCCAGACCCAAACTCAGACCAGTGCCTGTATCTTTTTCTTAAGCTTACTTATGTGTATTTTGTAAAGGCTAAATATTACGTTCAGAATTTCTTCTTTAAAGGAAGAGTGGATCATTTTTAATCCATAAAATCCAAACGTTTAAAATCTTCTTTCTCAGACACAAACGTGAAAATGACACTCAGCCAAACAACAACAAGTCTAAGACAAAGGAAAACAAGTTCTATACTCATTAATTAATAATACTAATTACCACTTACTATTAATACTATTACTGCTACTGCTGTTACTGCTACTACGACTACTGCCTCTCTCTCTCTCTCTCTCTCTCTCTGGTCTCTCTCTCTCTGCTCTCTCTCTCTCTCTGGTGTCTCTCTCTCTCTGGTCTCTCTCTCTCTGGTCTCTCTCTCTCTGCTCTTTCTCTCTCTCTCTGGTCTCTCTCTCTCTCTGCTCTCTCTCTCTCTGGTCTCTCTCTCTCTCTCTCTCTGCTCTCTCTCTCTCTCTCTGGTCTCTCTCTCTCTGGTCTCTCTCTCTCTTTGGTCCCTCTCTCTCTGGTCTCTCTCTCTCTGCTCTTTCTCTCTCTCTCTCTGGTCTCTCTCTCTCTCTCTCTCTCTCTCTCTCTCTCTGGTCTCTCTCTCTCTCTGCTCTCTCTCTCTCTCTCTCTGGTCTCTCTCTCTCT